TTACAGTAAACTCCCTGTACTGAGTGTCACTGACTCAGACCACACTAAGTAGAGTACTGTCAAGGCCACATGCAGCCAGCAGCCTTACAATACATACATTAGAATCCTCAGTAAGAACTGTCATTGAGCCCAGCCAGGGGTTGAGCATCGACCCAGGAACTGACAGGTCACTGGTTCGATTCAGAGTCAGGGCATACAGCCGGGTTACGGGCTAGATCCTGAGTGGGGTGTGTGCAAGAGGCAGCCGATCAATGGTTCTCTCTCATCAATGTTTCTATCTCTTTCTTCCTCTCTCTCTGAAATCAATATTAATTGCCATTGAAATAATTATCCAGGAGCATTTATCAGCCACAATAATGCAGGTTAATGTACATCCATATATTGTTTTATTATTTTTTCAGGCAAACATGCATTCTTCTTTTCAAATCTATTTTTAGTAGAAATTTAAATTTAGCTTGGTTTAATAAAAACCCTACTTGAGATGGGTGTTAAAGAAAATTGATTCAAAGAAGACCTGAATAAGAGTTACAGTGGTTCCCCCCTTATCCTTGGAGTATACTTTCCAATAATCCAAGTGGATGCTTGAAAGCACTGATTGTACCAAACCCTCCATACACTGTTTACCCTATACATGCATACCTGTTCACTTAAAGGGAGCACTTTATAACATCTCGTTGGCATGTCAGAATTGACAGCATCAATACTCTTGTGCTTTGCGGTCACTATTAAGTGAAAGAAGGTTGACTAGAACACAAGCACTGTGACGCTGCTACAGTCCATGTGATAAAACCAATCTAGATGGCTAGTAAGTGACTAACGGTGGGTTGTATAACACTGCCTTGACATGCTGGACAAAGGGATGGTTTGTCTGGCAAAACAAGATGGCACAAGATTCCATCAGGCTATTCAGAATGGTGCTCAAGTAAAAACTTGGGAATTGCTTATTTCTGGAAATGACTATTTAATTCTAAATGGTGCTTGACAGCTGGTAACTGAAATGGTGGAAAGTGAAATTGCAGATAAGGGAGGAATTTCTGTTACTTTTCACATAAATGTAAAATGTGTGACAGCAATAGCAAGTCAGGGAGCAGATAAATGGATAAATATGTTACCATTGTGAGGTTTTCCTAGTCTATATCCAGTGATATAATTGAAGTATGGTAGCAATCATCTCAGGTAGAAACTATAGTTTAACTTTAACCCTGCTGTTTGGCTTCTGTACTTATTTGCTTTGTTTAACAATAGAAAAGTTACTTTGATTTTCTGAATTATATAAATCATCCCATTCGATTGAATACCCTACTGATTCTAATGTGAATACCCCATTGGTTGTTGTCATACTGGTTTTAGAAAGCACATTCTTCTGTACCTGGGAACCAGGACAGCACAATTATCCTAAATTGTCTCAGTGGTCCCAAGACCCGAGGGCTCTAGATACTGTATTTCTGTCAACTCAGTGGTCTGAAGACCCAAAACTATAATTAATCTTTGTAGATAACTAATCGGCTCAATTTCGCTTCTTTAACTGCTTTGTGCAAACCAGGTTCCTCATTCCAAACCCTGGGTTGTAATCAATACCTTTGTGATCTTTGCCTATATAAATCTGATGTTGGGGCTGGGGAGGGTACTGCGAGATTTGGGGAGAGTGAATGCCCCCTCATAGTCCCAGATTTGCAATAAATGTGACTCCTTAATTCGACTTCTTGAGGCGTCCTTGTGTGATTCGCAGAGTACATCACAACATAATATCACTTGAAAGTAGACTGTGTTAAGGCAGAGATGTGAATTGCCAACCCTAGAGCCACCACTGAAAAAGCAAACACAGAGTTATAACTAATAAGTCAGCAAAAAAAAGAAAAAATGGAATTATTTAAGTGCTCAATTAATACATAAGAGTACAAAAAGAGAAGTAAAGAGGGAAAAACCAAAGATAGAGCTAATTCAACAAATAGCAAGATTATGATACATACTAATTAACTAGTTCAATAGTTATACAAAATCTAAGTAGTCTTAATGCCCCAAATAAAAAGCACAGATGTAATTTTGAGTAAAACTAAAAATCAACAACTGTATGCTGCCCACCAGAAATGTACTATGAACATAAAGACTCAGAAGGTAAAAGTAAAAGAATGGACAAGATATACCATACTAACACTAATCACAGGAAAGCTGGAGCAGCAATAATAACATCAGACAAAGTCAATTTCAGAGAAAAATATTGTCTGAGATACCAAAGCTCATATTCTAATGATAAAAGGACAAATTTGATCAAGAAAAAAACATAGCAATCATAAATATTTATGCATCTAAAAAGAGAGTTTTAAAAACACTGAACAAAACATCACTGAGAAATAGACAAATTCACAATTATATTCAAACATTTCAACCCCTGTCAGTAATTGGTTGAACAACTTGACACGCCGCCCCCCCCCCCCCCCCGCAACAAAATCAGTGAGGATACAGAAGACATCAGCAACATTATTGATCACCTTGGTCTAACTCACATTTATAGAACAGATTACCCATCAGCAGCAGAATACACATTCTTATCGAGTGCACACAGACTATGGCCAGGATACTATAGACTTTGGGTATAACTTAAGGATCAATAAATTTAACAGAATTCAAACTATGTTCTATCATCACAGAGGAACTAAATTAGAAATCAATAACATAAAGCATTCTGGGAAAATCCCAAATATTTGTAAATGAAATGGCAAAGAACATATCAAAAGGAAAACTATAATGGAATGAAAATGAAAATATATCATATCAAAATTGGTAGGATGCCACCATAGAAGTACCCACTGAGAAACCTGAAAAATCATGAATAATTCCCTACTTATCCTGACACCAGCATACTATGATACTAAAATGAGACCAAGGTATTACAAAAACAAAAATAAATAAACCACCAAAAACCTATAGGCCAATACACCTCTAGAACACAGATTAATAATCCTTTTAGAATTCCAGTATATCAAATAGAACAATATCTACAGAGAATAATGCCTGCTCACCTAGTGGGGTTTACTTTGGCAATGTGCAGCCAGTTTAACATTAAAAAATACGAAATGTAGTTTAAACTCTCAAATACTAAAAAAAAAAAGGAAAGATCATATGATCATCTCTATTGATGCTCAAAAACACTTAATACAATTCAACATATGTTTCAGGTAAAAACTCAGTAAATCAGAAATAATTGGAAACATCCTCCCCTAATCCAGGGCATTTATGAAAAATCTATGGTTACTAACCATTTTTGTGGGTGAGGTAAAGATGCATGTTGTGATCTCTAGATCAAACACTAAAAGTACCACAAAAAGGGGGGAAATAGTCATTTCAACAATGGTGCTGGAAAAACTGTTTACATATAAAAAATAATAAATCTCAATCCTTATCTTATTCCATAAACCAGGAGTGGGCAAAATCTGGTCTCAACTTGTTCTTGTGTGGCCCAAAAGCTAACAAAGATGTTTACATACATGGTTGAAAAAATTGAGAAAGTAATATTTGCGACTTAGAAAAATAATATGGAATTCAGATTTCGGTATCCATACACCAAGTTTATTGGCGCACAGCCACGCTCACTCGCGAGCGCAGTGTCTCTGGCTCTTCGTCACTGCAGGGGCAGAGGTGGGGAGCTGGGACAGAAAACCAAAATCTTTACCATCTGATTTTTTCTAGAACAAGTTTGCTGATAGTTCCATAAACAAAAATGAATATAAGATGGGTCAACTTTCTCAATAAAGCTTCTGAGAAAAAGCTGAACTAATTCTTTTCATGACCTTGGAGTAGGCAAAATGTCTTTGAGAGGACAAGAAAATACTCTGATCTTTAAAAAGTATATGTTTCTTTATTAAAAGTTTTAAAATCCTGTTCAACAAAATATATTAAGAAAAATAAATATCTATGAATATATTTTTTTGCTGGTAATGTATTCAAAATATAAATATTTCCTACAAATCAATAATTTAAAAGTAAATAATTCAATTATTTAAAAAAGCAAAAGAATTAAAATGACTGGTAAAAAAAATCTATAATTAGGCAGCTCCCTTTTCATAGATGGTCTATTTCCAGCTGCTTAGATTTTTTGACTGATAGAAGGCCAAGGTCAGCCCTCCCCAGGAATTAACTTTGGTTAAAGAGAGTACTTTGCCCAAGGTCCCTCCTCCCCTTCCCAGGGCAGCAGCATGCATGGTGTCCTCTTTCCCAGAACACTCATTGATGAGATTTAGAATTTGTGTTTCCTTCTTAGAAAAATGCACCATGCCTCCCTCAGTGCCACCTGCAAAGGGTGGGCTGAGACAGGTAAACATCACATCAGCAGGAGCTTGCAGTATCCTGTCCAGTCCTGCCTCTAATTCAGAACCCAGCCAGCCTGGGCAGTGTCAACACCACTACTGCACAAGTGGCCACTTGAGGGCACTGTGGATCCATGGAGTGAGCTGCTGATGGGGCCCAGTGGCAGAGGGAGGGTTAAGGGAGAGAATCTTGGCTGGGTCCCTACATCAGGGAGATTGTCTGATGAATCAGAAGTTTGATGATCATATCTTCTCACATTAACTGCTATGCAGGTGTGTTGTCACATTAGGGAGCCACGAGGTTGGCCTTGCCTGGAGTTAAGCTCTCCCTTGAAGCCTATGCTTGGTGGAGAGTGTGATGGGGCTTCTTTCAGTCAGGCAGCTGGGATAATTCAAGCCAGGTGTAGAGCAAGAAGCACCTGCTCCTGGGAAACAGAGAAGCTGGGGGATGGTCACCTGCCACAAAACCAGCCTGGCCTAGCTCAGAACAGCCAGAGCACCTACTGATAGGAAGATGGACAGAATGGGGAATGCCTAGACCAACTGAGCCTGTCTAGGAAGTGCAGGCTGTCTGTGGAGCCTACAAGGACAGTAACATCAGGACAGTGACATCACAGGCAAGCCCTCCACTCAGAGCAGAGAGAGAGGCAAACCCTCTGCTCTCTCACCCCAAACACCAGAGTCCAGAGCTGGGAGATGGCCAGTCTTGTCCTGCTTGAATCTTTCAGGGGCCCCCGACTCCTCTGCTGCATGGCCCTCTGCCTTCTGGGGGCAGGTGAGTCCTGAATTCAGGTGGGACATCCCTTGAACCCAAAGTTCTTGACTGTTGGTGGAGAGTCCATTTCCTTCATGTGCTGGTCGAAAGCTTCTTTCTCCTTCCTCCGCAGGTTCTGTGGCTGCTGGAGTCACCCAGTCCCCAAGACACATAATCAAAGTCCAAGGGGGGAAGGCTGTTCTGAAGTGCCACCCCATCTCCGGACACAGCTATGTGTACTGGTACCAGCAGGCTCTGGGACATGGCCCCCAGTTCCTCATTAGTTTTTATGAAAAGCAGGAGGGACAGAAAGGAAACATCCCAGATCGGTTCTCAGGAAAACAGTTCAATAACTACAGCTCTGAGCTGACCCTGAGTGCCTTGCAGCTGGGAGACTCAGCCATGTATCTCTGTGCCAGCAGCTTAGACACAGCCCTGCAGGGTCAATGACTTTCTGTACTCAAACCTCCCTGCCCCAGCTGAGGATGTCACAGGAGAGGGAGGGGGCCTTAGCAAGTTGCCAGTATAGGGCTAACTTCTTTTGCAACATCCTCCCTGCCCTGCTGAGCTCAGCCTGAGCTTTCCTGACTATCCTCCCAGCTCTGCCAGCACCTTGCAATTCCTAGCACATGGCAGGAACTCCTGCTGTGATAGAGTGGGGTCCATGTTGTGTGTGCTAATGCATTGTCACTAATGTGTGTCCACTTTACAGAAGAAGAAGCCTTCAATATAACTTTTTATAGGCAGGAAGCTGCAGATCCTGGACATTCCAAATATTTCACATATGTCAACCCTAAATGTCCAGGCCTCCAAAATCAACATTACCTCTAGAATTCCATGATGCTTCCTGGGCTTGGCCCTTCTACACTAATAAAAGAGAAACATGGTAATTAGCGTACTACCGCTACCCTTCCCATTGGCTAATCAGCATATCCTTATGCAAATTAACTGTCAGCCAAGATGGCGGCCGGCAGCCAGGCAGCTGGAAGCGAACATGAGGCTTCCTTGCTTCAGTGACTGCAGACTCCAACGTTCCCCGCCTGACTTGCCAGCCTCTGAGTTGCAACTCTAAG